GCTCACCTTCTCTGCCCTAGGAGCCTGGGATGGCAGCAGGGGAGCTTCCTTCTGGGTGCTGGGACTGGCTGAGCTTCTCTGCCCTAGGAGCCTGGGATGGTGGAGGGGGAGCTTCCTTCCGGGTGCTCATGTCTTCACTTTAAAACATGTTTCTTACTATCATTTGCTTTTAGAGAAACAACAACCCAGACAAACTGCCAGCGCTCTTGACTGGAAGGAAGATAACCACTCCATTACCACTGAAAGGATGAACATCACCTAGAGTCAGACCGGGAGGCCAGTTGGCTGCCAAGCCTAATTTTGTTTTTCTTTAGCTGAGCACACCTGTAACCCAGCACTTTGGGAGGCCAAGGCAGGAGGATCACAAGTTGGAGCCCAGCCTGGGAAACTTACAGAAACTCTGTCTCAAAATAAAAAATAAAAAGTACCTCTGGGTTTGATCCCAGTTCCACACACACAAAATTATTTAACACCTACACAGACCAACTAATCCAAAATGGTGAGTGCATACCAACGGTAATTACAACTGAATTTCTTAAAATTCTGGAGGTTGGCTGGGAATCACTAGCTTTGGAAATCCTGTCTGAGCTCCTCCACTTAGCAACTTGCCTCTTTCTGTCAATTCTTTGGAAGTGAAAATCAGACTGGCTTCAGAGAACCTGCTTTAAGGAAAGAGTGATGTCTGGTTAGGGGGAGCAGGAAAGTCGTGTTTATGTAGCCATGAACACACCTACTCAGCCAAACCAACCACCCATATACTGTGTTGTTGAGTGAACCTGCTACGGTTATCTAAATGTTCAATCTGAAAAATGGACAGAATCCATTGAGATCGATTGTTAAATCCACAACTGTGTGAACAACAGGACTAGAGTGAGTGCTGATGCCACGAGACAGACTTGAGCCATGGACTCTTGGAGATGAACATCTCCTTGGAGTAACCTCATCCTGTGCCACCCCAGAGCAGAGTTCCTCCTTACCCTTTGCTTGGGCAGGTTCAGTACTCAACAGCTTAGCTCTTCCGGATCAGCCAGTTTGCTAGTTTGGCAAATTCCCTCCTCTGTGTGTACATCCCAAGCAGCTCCTAAGGACAAGTCAACTCTCTTTTTTACAGCAAGATGATCTTTACAAAGCATGATCTAACAACACTGGGGTTTGGACCTCTCTACCCACTCACTGCAAGAATCCTTATGATCATAGCCCTCCCAATGCAATGCACTGGCTTCACTGTGATCAAAACAAGAAACAGAGGTAAGGCTGTCATGCTACTCCATACTGGGAGCACCACCCCAGGGCCATCCTCCATAGGTGTTATTCTTTCCCGCAGATATTGCTGGATGCCTGTTTTGAGTCAGACATAGTAAAATAGAGAAATGCATAACACAGAGTCACTGCTCTGGAAGAGCTCATTGCTGGGTAGGGATGAAAGTGATTTAGAGGTACAATGACCAGGACAGCATGGGCATGGCAAGCACCATCCATGGTGGAGGGGAAGTGGGGCAGGTAGGCCTAACCTGGGTGCAGTCATAGCAGCATGAGCACCGATCTGACTGTTCACTTTCCTGCAAGGAAAACGTGTGGGCCACCCCCTTCCAGACAGGTGCTCTGATCTGTGCCAGGTGAAGCTCCTGGATTCGGGCTCTGAGTCCCTTGCTCTTCCCCAGTGTCCTCACGATAAACCTCAGTGGATCCAAGCAGTGCAATGCTGCTCCAATAGCTTTGCAAGGTGACAAAGAAGAGGTATGTGTCACAAGGGATGACAAATGGAAGTGCTTGGAGGGCGAGCTGCCCTTGTATAGCTGTGCCACTGGCCTGGTTCACGGCCGGTGTCACCCAGCTGGAGCTCTGGCCCGGTGGCGTAGCCCAGCAGCATGGTGGGAGGCCTGGCTGGTCTTTTGTTTCCAAAGTTCCTAGACTGAAAAGTAATCATTTGCTTGGCTCTGGCATCAAGGTGAAAGGGGCTTACGCTCTCATTCGGAGAACATTTAATCATCATCATTTTGGAATGATTTTTAAGTCATTTAAAAAGTTCTGATAGAACATGTGTCCTTTTTTGTTTTTTTTTTATCTTTTAGATTAACAGCTCCAGTGATTGTTCTGGTGAAATTCCCATGTTTTGGTACAAGAGGACACTGGAAGTGAGGTTGGAAATCTGATGTTGATAGCTTCATTCTAGCACTCAAAAACCACGTGTTTCTTGGGCCGGTCTCTTCACACCTCTGAGTGTCCACCTAAAAGGTGGATGTAGTGGAAGGAAAAGTCTGAAGGACACCTTCTCCACATTCTCTTAGCCTCGTAACAATATCAATACCCCTACTTAACTGGCCTGGCCTAATCCATGCTTATAGAACAGACCATTCCAGACCAGGAGGCCCTCAGCTCCAGACGAATAATGAACTTTGCACAAACACAGAATGGACCAGTGGCCGCAGATTAAGAGAGATGACTTGATCCCACAATAGTGAGTTTCCAGCCCATTTAAAGTTCTCATAGACTATGACCAATGCATGGTCTCAAACTCTAGAACTCAAAAGAATCAGCTTGAATGCATGTTTAAAGTGCTGGCGAGCTGGGGTGCAGCCCTGTGGCTAAACACTCAATTATCATGTGAGAGTGCCCGAGAGTCCAGCAAATTGTCACTGTTGGAAACGCTGCTGTGAGAGATAAGGACTATTCCTCATGATCACCTCAACTTGGAAGAGAAGGTTACCAGTATTCAGAAAGATTAAGAAAATAAGTCAGCTGTCATGGCACATTCTTGGCACCCGGGAGGCTAAGGCAGGAGGGATTGTGAATTGCTGAGCCTGTGCAATTTAGTGAGACATTGTTGCAAAATAAAAATAAAAAGGGCTGGGTATGTAGCTCAATGCAAGATCCCTGGGTTCCATTCATCCCTAGCACTGAAAAGAAAAAAAACCAAATGGCTAGGGATTGGTAGAAATGATATTCAAATTCAGGCAACCTGTATGCACATCCTTTGGACTTAATTATTACATAGCCAGACTCTCTAGTAGGACCCTAAGTATCACAATAACCTGGGCTTCTGTAGAGATTTTCTCCCCCAGGAGATAATAGCAAGGGAGCTAAAATACCTCTTTCTGCCCAGGCTGGGCCTCTTATCTCCTGTGAGTTTGGAGAAAATGTTAAAAGCTAGTGTTGGGGAAAGAGGCAGAAGGCCAGAAAACTTCACCAACACACACATTCAGCATGCACTCAGATACCACACACTCACACTTACACATCCTCTGCTATCTTAGTGACATCCCTGAGTCAGATCAAGGACCAGATCTTTGATCTTTATGTCCATGGGGCAGGGCATGGACCTGTGTCCGAAAGCATCTTTATAGCAATCAGTCACTGTGACAGAGGCCTCACCTCAGCGCCCTCAGCTTCTGTCCCATGGTCCAGGGTCTGCAGCGAATATTTGCCACGAGATCTTTCTGGAACTGTATGTTCTGGAAGATTTGTTCCGGGTCACTGCTGTCCCCCGTTTCATCAGCATTAAAGCTGTCATCCAAGTTACTAAACGGATCAGGGCATTAAGGAGGAAATCTGATTAGCGGAATTGCTTCCAGAAAAGATAATCTTTCCTGGGGAAAGTTTGACAGGGTCATTTGTATGAAGCTTGTGTGCGTGTATGTGCATGTATGTGTGTGTGCATCTGTATGTGTGTAAGGAATATGGAGGTAGAGAACTGACAGCATCAGTAACCCATTGGAATGTATTTACTGGAGTCTATTACTTTGATGATCAGGGAAGAAAGGTTTCTGAGGATAGAAGATATTGTTAGGAGACACCGAATCAGTCAAGGAGTCACTTGTGAAAGATTTGATTCCTGAATTGCAACAATCTCGGTAGACAAATAATTTCCTTTATCAGCTCATTGAAATACTTGGATAATTTTAGAAGCAGAACTCCTCCTTGTTCCCCAACTCTGAAGGTAAAGTAAATAAAAACCAAACTTCTGTCACCCAGAGATGGCTTTCTGTCTGTTCTCTGATTGATTTCAAACCCGAGATAACAAAGGCATGAACAAACAAAGTGGCAGTCTCTATGAATGAGAAATTAGCTCAGCAAGTGTAAATGGGCAAAGCATTCCAAGGAAATAGTGGCTCTCTAGAAGAATGATGTTTCAACACGCAGCAACATTTATTCCAAGTAATATGCTAATCCTAATTCAACTTTTTCTGGAGGAGATGAATATTCTTCTGTGGCTATTAGAAGAGAAAGTATTCTCTGTGTTGTTATTCTCTAATTCAGACTGGTTTTTCTTACTCAAAGGAAATTTTTTTCCAGTTTCCCCAAAGTAAAAGGTTTTATTACTTAAGAAAATATTCATTACAATTATCTAACAAACTTAAATAGTGTTCTCATTCACTTCCAACTGCTCTGAGCCTTTTCTAACTGACAGTGTATTTATTGTGAAAGATGTGTGAGCTGCTATCTTGTAAACAGAGAGAATGAGAGAAAGCTCTTATATGGAGTTAGCAGCCTAAACCCAGGCTAGGAGGTGGGCTTCAGATGTCCCATCCTCTGGCCTAGAGCAAGCAGCTGTCACCATCCCTTCTGCTGAGGTCAACACCACAGGTGAATAAGATTCAGCAGCAATAAGCTTCTGAGTTATCCTGAAGAGGAACTGAGCAGGATGGGGACTTAGTCCCTGGCTTGGTGACCCATGCTCACATAGCTGCCTCCTCTGCCTTCCCTGCCTCTGATGGAGGGAACCCACTCACCTGAAAAGCAGGGACTCCTGGTAGAGGTAGTGTTGGCTGGCATTTCTTCGGATGCTTCTGTAGCGCTGGGACGCCTTTGAGGGTTTCATGGGAGCAGACTTCCTGCCAGTAGCCCCTGGGAGCTGTAGGGAAACTGGGAAGCCAGCAGATGAGAGAGGGTCGGTTCTGACTGAGGTTTCTGGAGCTTCAGACTTATCCTCCCCTTCTCCAGAGCTGGGCTGCCTGTGGTGTCTGCAGCTGGGGCTGGGCACAGGAAGGAGCCAGGAGGCCGGTTCTGAATATGTAATGTGGAGGGGCTGCAGCAGCACTGATTGGCTGGAGTCCCTGCAACCAAAGGTGGGAGGCTTGGCCAGGTGACCCAGAGGTGACTTAGTGCCACCCAAGGAGCCCTCTCTGTAACTCTTTGTGCCCAGACAGCAATTTACGGTTTGCAAAGCACTCTAGTCTATAACCACCACTGGTGTTTACAAATTTTTAGGGAGGAGGGGCACAGCTTTGACATTGTATTTTTAAAAAATCTTTTTTGTTTAACTTTAAAATTTTTTTTGCAAGAAGTCAAGTATACAGAAATGTTAATATAATAGCACCACAGATATCTGTACACTTTTAACTCACATTCACCAATTGCCACATTTGGCCATAATTGCTTTATCTCTGTCTATATATATTCTTTGACATCATTTGAAAACAGGTTGCCAAAATAATGACAGTGTCAACCCTAAAAACTTCAGCATGCCAATAATAATCAAGTTAACATTTCACTGTAGTTTTGCATTTATTAAGTGTGGTCACATTAATAAGCATCATGACTTTAGCAGACTGAGTGTAAGAGAATTTAAGGGGATTTCCAGAGTTTCCTAATAAGGGAAAAAGAATTTGATAGAGGTTCAAGATTCTGAAAATAGATTGCCTGTGTAAAATGCGATGATGCCTGGCTATGCTAATCTTTAGAAAAAGGCCAGCAACTCTGCGCCCCTGGCCCAGCCGCAGCATCTACAGCTTCACCTAGTTACCCATGCACTAGGGTTTTCAGCCAAAGGACTGATCCCTGAGTCTTATAATTCCACATTATGACCCTCTACTTGCTCGTTAACACAAACAGTGGTTTATTTGGGTGAGGTTAACTGCACCTTGGTACCAACAGAATGAGAAGGTGCAAGATTGAAGTGGTGAGGCCCTTTCTGTTGAACACCCTGCCTAGTACACATCAGGGACAAGAAATGGGTGACTGAAGGATTGGGCTGTGCACCAGACAGAAAGGTGGAAAGGAAATCCATAAGCAGCTGCAGTGTGGGGCTCAGGAGACAGATGCATTCTCTCACTCATTAACAAATAATTAGATAGCTCTGATTATCTGCCCCTTGCTTGCCTGGCACAAGAAAGCAGAATCCTAGCCCAGGGTCCCAGAGCTAGAAAGCAGGCATTCAGATCTGGGGCTCTGGGCTTGGCTCAGAAATGGGCCTGGGGGTCTCTGGGTCCAGGTCATCTGTCTTCCACCTTGCCTTGGGCCACATGGCCTGGTCGTCAATGTGGACCACTGGACAAAGTACAGTGGTACCTTGGCTCATGAATTTCATTCTTTCCATGATTCTGGTTCCAGAATTTGTTCCACAATTCTGGTTGCAACCAAACTGCAATATACTATTCTGTGACCTGAATCATGGAAAGAATTAAGCTCCTGAACCGAGGTACCACTGTATCTGCTTGTCAAATGGGCAAATGGCGTTTACAACAGGTTGGTTTCTAGCTCTTCTGAGATTTTTGTATTGTTTTAAGAGATCTTTACATACTTTATATGAACTTGAATAGTTCAAAGATTGTTATCCTATTTTTTCTAAGGCCTCCAGTCTTATTTGGAAATATTTACTTAGATTTTAAAAATATTAATCTCATACAATTTTGTATTTTGAGCATTTTTATTTCTTCTTTACTATTATGTACATAGGGTTTTTTTTGAGAGAAGGTAAGGAAAGATGTTAACACATTTTCAGATAAAACAGATTTATAAAACAAATTAATGCAACTCATTCCCTCTCTGTGTGTTTATTCAGGTGATTCTATTTGACATATTGGTGAGATAAAATGTGTTAATCAAAAGAATTTAACCCTACTTTTAGCGTTCAAATAATAAATCACAGATAAATATGAATAATTTCTACTTTTGTATGAATCAATCATTATCCTAGTTTCTTGCCTACTTTTGAAGAAATGTAGATTTCAAAACAAATTTACTATGAAAGTAATACAGTCATTACATAAAAATGGAACTAGTGGAAAGTTAGAAATATGAAGAACTACCTGGAACAATGCTGCTCAATGATATCAACTCTTTCATTTCCAGTTTTTTACCAAGTGCAGATATTTCTTCATATTTGCATATTCTTCAGTTTGTAGAGATATTTTTCTCTTAGCTTTTTAATTGATTTTTTTCTAAAGCAATTTCCATGTTATTTTAAAATTTTTGTGAGCATATTTTACCATTAGGCCATTGCGCGGAATAGTTTGTCTACAACATAAAGTGTTCAACTCTGCTCATTTCTCAAACACCCATTTTGTTCTCCCAGATAGATTTTTCCATTGATTTTCTTTAGCATTTATCATACTTTTAGAATTAGTTTTCCAGAAATGAAGTGACTATCATTTTTAAAAATTCAATGTGGTCAAATGAATGCTATTTTTACATTTATGTTAGTTTAATGTTTTTATTATTGATAAAATTCATTTTTAAAGTTACTGTTTTTGAAATTACTTGTAATCAATGCACAATAATTATATATGTTTATGGGAGTACTATGTGTTCTTTTGATGCATATTTACAAGGTCTAATGATCAAATCAGGGTAATTAACAAATTGATTATCTGAAACATTTATCATTTCTTTGTGTTAGGAATATTCAGAATCCTTTCTTCTACCTATTTTGAAATCTACAATGCACGCAAATGAGTTTATTATTATGGTCATATTTGCCTGGGGTCTCGTCATGGTTTCTTTAGTCTAATGTTTAAAAATTCACTCTGAAGACCCCTGGCCTGAGGCTGGTGCTGTGTTCAGGTTAAGGCTGTGATGGCTGCCCTTGCTCCTCAGTGGAGAACTCAGACTCAGTTTGATGTTTCCTCCCTAGGGTTCAGCCCCTCTGGGCTCCAAAAGACCAAGCAGAAATTGGAAGTGCCAAGGATGCTGCTTTTACAAGGGGATAAATTATTTTGCATGCATTTGACTCCCGCTGACAACTTTATTAGAAGCTTTGAATGTACTGGATAATTTTAAGTTAAAACAGAATTTGTATATATAAAAAATGACTAGAAATCCCTCAAATACTTACCATTGCACCATTTAAACAAAATAAGAGAATCCAAACAATGTTAAAAATGTGCTACAACTACTATTTCCCAGACCAACTGCTTTCAGGGCCCATGTGGTAGGATAAAGGAGACTGAAGGGGAAGGGAGAAAAGCAGAAAGACAAATTATATAGCATGGAAATCATATTCAGTTCCAAAAAGAGAAAAGAAACAGGAAAAGAGTAAAATTTAGTTATAAATCCCAGAAGATTTGAACAGAAATCACTCAGTGACTTAGTTTACAGGAATAAAAGCATTCATTTCGTACATCATGAGTTAGAGAATTGTTTTCCTGCTAAGTGAATTCTATTCTGAGATGAGACATTAGCATCCCTGGGCGCATCTTGCAGCCGGTGTGTGTCTCATGTGTCCCGCCAGCCAAGCCCATGTCCCTCTCCCTACTCGCAAGATTTCAGCTCTGAACTTTACAAGACAGCCTTTCTCACTTCTGGGCTGTAGTTACATGACTCTTATATTGCTTTAGCAACTCTTAAAGTTTTTTTGTGAAGTCTGGGAATATATTTTTGGTCTGCAGAATGTTATTCAGGGAAAGTACTCAAGAATAGATTGTTTCCAGTTATCTGAGCAACAGCTGAGATGTTCGAGACGTGAGAACAACTTTTAATTTTTAAAAAGAATTCCTCATGAAATCATCAGCTGCAAATAAACATGAAACCCAGCTGGCACACTCTTTCCCTTAGGGCTTGTGCAATGCACTGTTACTCATTTAGAGAGCACTGCCCTAGGGATTCATAAATGGGTTGGTGGGCGGGGTCGTCCTGTGCCACAGTCGCTCTGGCAATAAGTGAAGCCAGATTGTCACCACAACAACAGGCTTTAAGAGTAAAACTGTTTTTACCACTACATATTGGTAAATGTTTCAGAAGACCTGTATGTTTAACTTGCCTGTATACACGCATAGGAATACCGTGGGATACCCTATAAATTTCAACATTTTTATGGTTACTTTAAATAATGTAATATAGATTTAAAAAGAAACTGATCATCAGATAGCTTGCAGTGGGATGGGAGTTATGCAGCTGCCCTGTCCTGCGTGCTGTTGAATTTTCTTCCTTGCAAAGACATGCAGGCTTTCCCTTTACTAGGACAGATTATATGTTTGATAATACGTAAAAAAGAATTTTCTTCCTTTCCATAGGATTCAACATATAGTCTGTCCTAGAAAAAGGAAAAATTTGAATTTTCTAAAATAGTGGAGTCCAGGAGAGCAGTTTAGGAGTTGGTGGACACTTTTCTTTAATGATGTTTAGGTCTCTGAATTGTCCCTTTCGCTTGGGAGATTTTAGAAATCACAGCCAATGTTGTGCTGGAGCTGAGATGACTATGTGCCTTAACATTTCCTCTGATTCCTTACAAAAATGCTGCATCTCAAACAGCAGATGGAAGCTGACCGGCATCTGGGAACAAATGAAGGGACAGGACAGATTCCAGACAAAACATGTCTGTGACATCCTGACCTGCTACCAAGATACAGAGTTTGCCTTGTTTTTGCTGTGATACCTGACAATTCTTTCTTTTAAGAAAATTAGCTTCCTCTTTTTTATCACTACTTAATGATGTCTCCTTTCATCTATTTTTTATTTGAAAATATTTAATTCTTTAATATGGATCACATATATTCAAGATACACTATATGATTTGATACATGCATACACGTGTGATAGTTATCACAGACACATTAATCAAGATGTTTTTCACATATCACTTTCATTTCTAATTTTATAAAGAGATTTTAAAGTCTTCTTTCCTTAAAGTGAAAGGCAATATCTTCCATAAAATTGATTTTGTTTTCCTGAAGTGGATTTCTAAAAAATTAAAGTATCCATCCCTCCTTTTTTTACTTTTAGGATTTTATCTCTGTGTTTTGAGTAAAATCATATTTTCACAGGGCTAATTCTTGCCACATCTCCTCACCCACATTGGTTAATTTTTAAATGAAAGTCCTATTTTGGCCACAGAAAAGATCTGCATAAGATCTGAAAGGTAGAAACAAGGAGCTGCTGTTTTGTCCACTTTGAATGGCTGAAGACACCGGATGTGTGGCGGCATGTCTCTCAGGTGTTGGCCTGTCCAGGTGGCATGGGCCACGTCTGGTCTTTCGATAACCCCAGCTCCCCCTGGGTCTTCTCCTTCAGCTGCTCTGGCCTTTGGCCTGGTGTGTGCAGCTCTGTGGCCGAAGGCACAGGCTTTCTATGCTGGACATCTGTACTTTGAGGCTGGAGGTAGAAAGGAGGTAGGTGGGTTCTGATCTGTCCTTCTGGGCTCCAGTCATGCTGGAGGGTAAGGGAGAATTCCTTGTCTTCTTTTCTGTCTCACATACACAGTTCCCTCTCCTAACTCCTGGTCTAGGTGACCTGGAGCAACTTCAGCATCACATATCTGATGCAAAAGTGACATTTTGCAGAGACTTTGCAACCAGTTCCCAGGACCATGTAGATTTTAATCATTATATGAATCTTACATATTTGGTCTGCTTGCCCAAGTGAACCATGAGTAACTCTTGTGACTGTTCTTGTCTCTGGATTTCATCTCTTGAATTAAGATGTGGCTACACTGCTCTACCAGGACTACTTGAGTTCCTGAACTCTGCCGGGGTTAGGTTGAGGATTCATCCTCATGACTTCCAAACTAAGCTTCACTTCTAGGTGCTCCACTACCTTTCTGTAGTTCCAAGATGGGGACCACATCTTTAATTCATGGGCCTGCAAGGGACAATTCA